CCAGACACCCATTTAATAATGAATATAATTAAATTATTATGTCCTCACCTGTTGTTAGAAAAATAACGCCCTGTGTCTAATAGATTTATATTTAAGTTTGCATTTGTTACAGAGAAATCAAACGAAAGGACAGCTTTACTTTAAATTTGGTGGATTCACTGACCTCTTGACTTCGGAGATGTTGGGTAAATCCCCTTGGGTGGTGAGGAATTGAGACAAGCTATGCTGGAAAATATCCTGTGGCCATAAAGAATGACAGCCCCAGCCTGACTGTTTTGCTCCACTGCAGAAACAATATACCTGGGTATATAAACAACCTATCCTACTTAAACCACTAAAACCAACTATAACTTCCCCATAGCTAGCTAGCTATAAATAGATATGCCCTACCCTCTCTCAAAGTGCTCAGCCTTCATTCCTTAAGAAAGATTGGGGCCATCCAATATATCTTAGCCTGTTGAACCAAGTCTTTCTCCTTCTCTGTTTCAGTTTCCCTAGAAGAGGAAGTAAACGTCTATTAAAAATTAATTATATTACAAAACACATTAACTATTTGTACAAGTCCCTTATTTTGGAAATAATTAAATATTCACAGAATTAGAACATGGGAGATACATTTCATCCCATAGAGCATTCAGTACACATTCGGTTTTAACACATCCACATTTACAATCCATAGAATATTGTTTGGAACTACAAATATTAAATCACATCGTCCACATATAATGTATACTGCATTTCTAAATAATAAGAGTTTAAAGTCATTTACTCAATGTGGACATCTCACTTGGCACAAAAGAACAGTTCCTTAGTTTCATCTAACAGCTAGAGTTTGTCAAATAACCAATAATCCCAATCCCACCAGAATGTATTTTTTACTTACTAATTTTGTTTTTTGTTTTTTGTTTTTTTTTTTTTTTTTTTTTTAAGGCAGGGTTTCTCTATGTAGCCTTGGCTGTCCTGGCCTTGCCTTGTAGACCAGGCTGGCCTTGAACTAAAAAGTCTACTTGTTCTGCCTTCCTGAATGCTGGAATTTCAGGCATGGACTACTAAGCCCAGCTTCTTAAAAAATAAAAAAAGAAACTTATTTATTTTTTAGATTGCCTGACTCATAGTCCACTAATGGCACCCACAGTAATAGATTAATCCTTGTTTTAATGTCTTCTTCATCTTAGTATCTTTATTTTTCTGTACTACAATGGTTCATATAGCCTCAGCTATGACTCTTTTCCATTCTTATACTTACCACATATTTGATGCTGTTTTATTGTCTTCCTTCCTGCCCTTTTTCACTTTTCTTTTTTTTTTGTCTTTAAAAAAAATGTTTTCACTTATTAAAAGTAGTGTTGTCATAAAATATATCCTGATTACAGCTTCTCCTTTTTAAACTTCTCCTACTTTCTCCATACTTCAATTCTCCCTTGGGATCCACTCCCTTTCTGACTCTCATTGAAAAAGCACAGACTTCTAAAAGATAATAACCAAATATGACAACATAAGGTATAATACGATAAAGCAAAAACCATCACATTGAAGCCAGCCAAGGCAAACCAATAGAAGGAAAAGAGTTCCAAAAGTAGGCACAACATTTTAATCCCTCTCTTTAGGAGTTAATTCTTGCTACCATTTTATTGGTCAATTGGTTTTGTGAACGATTTGCTTTTTCATGTTTTTTAGGTTTTCGTCTTTCTGTCTTTCTGCTGCCTTTAAGTTCGGGATGTGGGGGGGGATCTAATTTCTGACCACACAACTTGAGGAGAAATCATTCCTAGTCTTCCCACCTTCTCTCTGGAAGTACTGAATCTTCAGTGAACATTTTAAAAGATGGTTGAATATTCCCGTAGGGGCACCTCACACTGGTACTTGATGGGAATCTCTGGGTTTCTGCAAAGTGAGGAGAGTCCTATTTAAAGCCTATGACCTGAGCACCAGTTGATTCTGCTCCAGTGTGAGGCTAATGTCAGCTCCTTGATGTAGCATGGACCTAGGGTAGACACCAAATAGCCACCCAATATCAAACTAACTCTGAGTCTCACAAGATGAGAAGACAGTCAGCTTCATTGTCATTAGATCTGAATTAAAGCTAGAACCTACTTAACCCTAGCACGTTTCTTAGCTTCCCTAAACCTTAGCTTTATACTGTATAAATAGCAATTAAAAAAAAATGTCTCAATTCTGAAAAGGTTAAATGAGCATTTGACAGGTCTGATATCTTAAGGCTTCAGAATATACACATCTATTGTGTTTGCATTAGTATTACCATCTTTATCATGGCTGGAATAAAGGGTGTTGTTTCCATAAATTCCCGTGAGGTTCGGTTTTATCTAGTGCTCTGTGCCTAGAACACGGTTCTATGTCAAGCATGTTTCTCTTTTTTCCATTGGATGAATTATTCAACTTGTCACATCAATAGAAAAAAAACATGTGAATGATACAGTAAAGTTTGGTAAATGTGGCATGGACTAGAGGTGAATAAGCCAGGGTATCATCCTCTAAACTTTCTTAATTGGCAAAGGTCAAGAAAGAGACATAAGAGTTAATGTGATACAAGGCTTCCAATTAATCACCCTTGTTCTTACTTGGTTTGGATCTATACAAATTTGCTTTTCATATTTAATGAGGAAAAAAAAAAAAAACGGTATGAAGCTACTAAAGCAATACTTGTACTTCAGTAATTTGGCCAAAAGTGGTTATTATGAAAATATAGTAGATGAAAGAAAAGACAACGTAAGGCTGAGAAAACAACCAAAAACAAGACCTTTACAAAAATACCTTTTTAATGAAAGAGTAAATAAAGAGAAAGAAAGAGAGAAAGAAAAAAGAAAGAAAGAAAAAGGAGAGAGAAAGAAAGAAAATGAGAGAGAAGGAAAGAGAAAGAAAGAAAGAAAGAAAGAAAGAAAGAAAGAAAGAAAGAAAGAAAGAAAGAAAGAAAGAAAGAAAGAAAAGGTCTTAGCATTGCATTTGTAGCTAAGACACTCAGTGACAATCACAAACTAAAATGAAAAGTGCAAAATCCTTTGGAAAATCAAGGAGACTGGCCATGATACTGTCTACAGGGAAGAGAAATTCATTGGGTTGGCAATCTAAGTTTCTCTTGAGAAATAAAAAGATCACTGCAGAAAAAAATAAGTACATCACTTACTATCAAATAATACAGACCCTACCAGCTCTGAAGACCAAACCATGGGAAATGATCATTACCCAGAAATTATATGCTGTGCTCACATACTCAACTTAGATTTACTCAGTTGCTTTTTGTGAGTCCCACCGCAGAGGCTCTACAATGCCGTTCAACTCCCTACAGATCCAAATAATTGTATTTCTAAACAACAATCCTCTCATCGAAAGTGCTAGGGACCAAGTGCAAATGCGTACAGCGCATGCTCTGTAATCAAGGAGTGTGATTGGCCAGTTGATATCAGGACTCAGCGGAAGTCCAGGCTCCTAGCAAAGAGGGGCAGAAATGCTCAGGGGTTTCTTAATAACTTGTGCAGGAATAAGCAAGACATTTTTATAGACAGATCTTTTCAAGACGAACATGAAGGCCACATGACACAGAATGTACAAGGAATAGGAAAAAAATACTATTTATATTCAGTTAGCAAATTCTGAACTATAACTGGAAGACGGTAAATCTGATATCCTCTGACAGAAACGGGAAACACAGGCCGGCTGGGGCTGACACCAAATCTTGGCTACAACGTGGTAATGAGCAGGTCATGGAATATCTGAGTAACAGGTTTTTTTTGTGTGTGAAATAGAGATCGAAGTGCTATTACTTGAACTGTATGAAGTCTCAGAAAGGAAATATGCATATAATTCTAAACAGAACACCTAATAAGTGGAAATCCCTCAGTAATCAGTTATTATGTAGGGTGCCTGCTATCCTTATAGGTGATACAAGCAGGGCATTTCTCTTTTTTCCCCCTCACAGATATTGTCTAAATCTGCAGGGGAATTTACTTTCGGTATGTAGATTAACACCCACCAGAAAGACAAAATTCACAGATTTCTATTTTACGGTCTGGTTAAAACAAAATGGCATTTGACTTAGAAATTCTCAAAAGTACCACCTGTCTTGTTTTCTTACAGCTGCCAGAGAGAATTCGGTCCTACCCCCAAAGTTTTACCTCAACTAGAACCAGGTTATATTATTTTTACAGGATTCAATTATTAGTAAGAAGTGTGTGTGTGTGTGTGTGTGTGTGTGTGTGTGTGTGTTTAAATTGTTTTGCTACCGTGGCAATATAATGAAAAAAATGTATCTTTTGGTGTATGTATATCATTATTATAAGAGATGAAATAGAAAATATTTATTTTTATGTAAATTCACTATATTTATATAATTCACTATTTATAGAGAAGAGGACATGAGTTCGTGAAATAACTACAATTCTAAAAATTAAATGCTTTATTTTTAAAGTTGGATTGGCCTGACTTTATGAAATGTCTAGCTTTGTCTTTGGGTATATAGTATATAGTATATAGTACTAAATAGTACAATGAGTAGGAGTAGGACTCTTTGCAGCTCTTCTATGTAAGACACACACAAGCAGTCTGTATCCTCTAGCTAGAAAAGGGAAGACATTTAAGAATTCGAGTTTTAAACACTATAAAGAAAAAGTGCTCTGGATCATATTTCTAAATTGAAATCTTACATATAATATTTTGATTTCTGTCACCCCCATTCTCACATGTCTTATAATTTTTGCTTAATAAGAAATCAGCCATCGTGTTCATAACCATAGCTATTTATAGAGGTGTGGGTGAGGGCAGAGAAAGCCGTGGGGCCTCTAGCATAGCAGAGAACAGTTTCCGCATGCAAAATGCTGGGGAAACCTCTTCTTACACCCAAAACATACATGTCTGGCAAGCTCTCAGCTTCCAATTTCATTTCGCAGATCCTGTGCAGACTCAGAGACCTAGAGTACTCCCTAAAAACAACCCTTTGGAGAGTCCCTGTGGCTGTCAATTTACATAATGTCCCCATGCAACAGTACCTTCAGCTGTGATCTCAGTCATGGTGGATGCAGAAATCAATCAGGTGAAAATTTCCAGGCAGCTGACACTTTGCAAATACCTTAGGATTCGAGAACTCTAGTAGAGGGTTAAAAGTGAGGGCTCTTCCTTTTCCTGGCTGTTTAAGCTGTTTTTTGTGGTCCTGTTGAACTTTGCCTCTTCTCTGCAGAGTTCTCCCCCTGGAAACAACCTAAGCCCTTTCCAAGCAGTACTTGTGGCTCAGCTAGAAGTATCAGCTTCAAACAAAAATAGCCTCATCTCCCTAGGACTCTTCAGCACTTTTTTTTTTTTAATTTGGCACTCTGGAGGAACACACACACACACACACACACACACACACACTGACTCTTAAGCCCTAAAGAGACAGGCAAAAATAAGTAAGTAAATTAATAAATAAAAGGGGAAGAAGAAGCCGCAGTATCTGGAAAGTACTGTCTAAGCCCCCGCACTGTCTCTGAGATAATTACATATCAGGGGTCTGTATCAAAAAACATGAAATAAAGAGTTGAAAGTAATCTTATCCGAGATAGCTCAGATTTATTCTTAGTGCCTCTAATACCCAGAACATTCCTCTCTCCCTTATTTGGCTAGGGGAGGGTCATGTAATGTCTACCGCAGGCAGAAGGGAGGGCAGGCTTCAGTAATTTTTTTTGTGTTGGTTTCTTGTTGTTTCAAATCTTGTGGGCAAGTGCGTTTACATAGAGCTGCATTTAAAACTGAAATTATTAAATCCTGACCATTCTTCCAAGACGTAGTCATGCTGCAGGGAATTAATATTTTCTAAATACTAGTCCATAAGAAGTATGTAATATGACATTAAAACAGAACAGTGAGAAGCACAATATCTCAGGGTTTTATTCCAACACCTTACTGAAAACAAAATATTTGAATTCATCTCTTCAGTGAAAGAAAGAAGTGACTAAAGTTTAGAAATCCACCGCTAACATTTTAGAAAAAGATTGCAGCATTTTCCTATCTGAATTTGTAAGAAGAAGGGGGGGGGGGGAAATCCTTCTAGCAGCAGCTAACAATTAGCTAAATTGCCTGATTAACATTTCACCTTCCCACTCCTAGACAGGTGTTAATGAGCAGAGAAATATTCAATAGTTGGTGGTTGGAAGGAGAAGGAGAATCAAAGGGCATTGATAATCATAAACTTTAGCCAGACTGAGCATAATCAAGGGCTGACTTCCCTTATCTTTTATTTTCTTCTTATATTCAACCTAATAAATGCTTGCAGTTTCATCTCTCCACCTTAACTCACTGCCTTTGGCTGTCAGAACCTCTTGAATTTGTATGGTACTTCATAGTTCACAAAGCAAAGCCCTGTCTGCTGTTTAAAAGTGTGGGGCTCAGAAGAGTGCTGTGACAGCTATTTGCATAGACAATGACATCCTACATGGCACCAGCTGTCTTTATTGGCCGCCTCAATTCCTGGCACAACAGAAATTGCACAGACATCAGCTGAATAAACAAACAAGTAAGTACTCTTCTTTCACAGCAGAGCAAATGATTTCAGGTAGTCTAACACTATTATACAGACCCTGCAGCTAGGACTGGCCCTGCATGATGGACATTTGTTATAGTGCTAATACCTTGCCTGAGAGCTATGTCTTGTAGAAGACAATACTTGAAGGGTCATTGCAAATAAAGCCAAATACACGGGACAGACTAAGACAGCAGGACTGGGCCAATCTAGAGGAGTACCCTGAAAGCAGAGCTCATGTCACTGAGGTTCCTAGCCGGTGGAGATTTGCATAAGAATAGCTCCCAGAGGCTACATATTTGAATCCTTGGTTTCTAGTTGATGGAACTATTTGGGAAGGATTAGAATGTGAGGCCTTGCTGGAGGAGATGTGTCCCTTGGGCACGCTCTCAAAAGACCACCTGTTTCCCGTTAGCTCTCCTTCACTCTCTTGTTCTGCCTCATGGTCTTTGTCTCAATATGTAAGTCTTCAGCTACTGCTCCAGTACCATGACAACCTGCCTGTTGCCGCAGTCCCTGTGACCATGGTCATAGACTGTATTCACTCTGTGAAACCATAAGCAAGCCCCCAATTAGATAATTTTTATAGGTTGCCTTAGTCATGATGTCTACTCATAGCCACAGAAACTCACCCCAGGTATGTCCATTTGATATTAACACAAGGTTGCAGTGTTAAAAAAGGGTAACACTTCATCTCCGTCATCCTTTCATGGGTCTTGACTATAGTTAACTGAAGAAATAGTTCTGCACAACCTACAAATACTTTCAAGAGTAAAGACCTAAATAGAGTTTGAAAGAGGGAGTGGGGAAAAACTCAGTTTCTAACTAGTATTCAATGAAAAGTTAAAATAAGTCGAGGATGCTAAATTTCAAACGATTCATGCAACACTCAAGTTCTCATACTTAGTTTCATGCTGTACATGCTAGAAGGAAAATATTAAAAAAAGAAACCCCACAAAGTTATTGTGGCCAAACAATATGTTTATAGGATAGACTCTTCCTTCCATCTGTGAGATAAACTGGTGACTCAATGGGCATTTAGAAATTAGAGTATTTCTCATTTTGGAAAGTTATTAGCACTCTTTCAACTTTGAAAGCTGCTTCGTGAGCCATGCCTTTGACTTACAGGTGTAACTCTGCAAATCTCTCTGGAGCCAACCTTCTAACGCCCCTAAGTGTGTAGGCCCCAGTTTTCAGGCCGTTCGGTGAACAAGGCACTACAACAAGAGATGGCCTTCCTCATTTTAAAAGCACTGGTCTTAAACAGACGTTACCAGTCTGCTGGGCTCTTCCAGTATTACCCAGGAGGTAAGGCTATTTTCTCAGTGTGGCATCTGGCCCTCTCACAGTGGCCATTTCCTTCTCCCAGCTACTGCACAGAGCAACATTTATATGAAAGTAGGGAATTAACTGACTCCGTCTACACAGTCAATGATGAACCAAAAAAAAAAAAAAAAAATGTGTTCTCCTATTAAGTCCTACATTTAGGTCAACATGCCTCTCTGCGCTGATCAGACAAATCATTAGCCCTTGGGTGATTTTCACTTGGCGTTCTGCATACTCAAGCTGGTGGTTAACAGTATTCTTTCTTAAAGCAATCTTTTAACCTGGATGCTTGGTCCCTTCTTGTCATCAGCTAAGAATCAGTACCACATAGGCTGTATTGGGCTGTGAATGTCAACATGTAAAAAGACACAGAAAGCAATGTCAGAAGTTTTGTTGACTTCTGGTTTCCAAAACTAAATTAAACAAAACGACCACTTAAGACCATGTTTCATTGTCTTGTTAAATGTCAAATTCTTTTGACAAAGTGATGAGAAGTACAACTGAAATAAATCAATAGCAACTGACAATCGTTCACATATTTTCTCAATGATATTCAAAAGAAAAGTGAAATTTAGGGTTACTTTAGGTTATTCTCAAAATCCTGTTTCTTGTAGTACACACAGCTAAAGTATGAGCATCTATGGCTGTGTGTCTGAAATACACACGTATGTGTGATGGATGAAAATAATACAATATAACAAAACATTTTTCAATAAAGTACAACTTGACACCTCAAAAAAGACGTCATTAGGATATCCAGTTAGAAAAAAGCACTAAAAATTCCTTCCTCTCATGGGCTACCTCTCATGGATGGGCCTCGAGTTAAATCAGACATTGGTAGGATACACCTACAAGTTCTGTACCACAACTGGCCCAGCACATCCTGCAGGCAGGACAGATTTTAGCGCAAAGATTTTGTACCTAGGTTGGAGTTCACATTTCAGGTAGCCTGCAGGGTTCTTTCCCACAACAAAGAGACTAGAGCTTAAGGGTAAGGATCCATTCAGGCACAAGCTTAACCTCTCCACATTGTATGTAGTTGTCCTTGGCAATGGGGTCCAGGCTGTTGGTTTAAGGCAAGCTAGTATGTGCCTGGGTTCTGGGGATCTCCACAGGACCACCTCAGCCAACAACTCAGTTGAATGCAATCCAAACCCACCACTGGGAGCCTTTCCTGGCTATAAGAGATGGCCAGTTCACACTCCATATCCCCAATACCAACAGTCCTTACTAGGGTCACCCTTGTAGATTCCAGGAATTTCGATTGCACTGGGTTCCCATACTTCCCTGCAAATGTGCCCCCCCCCATTCCTGCTGTCTTTCCCATCACTTTCTTCCTCCATCCCATCTCACCCACACTTGCTTCCTGCTGCTCCCATTCCCCACCAGCCCCCAGTCCACCTGCCTTTCCCCTCCCAGGGAGATAAAAGTTTCCCTACCCCCTAGAGCCCTTTTCTTTACCTAACCTGCCTAGATGTAGGAATTGTCCTTGATTATCATTTACTTAACAGCTAATACCCACTTATAAGTGAACACACAGCATATTTGTCTTTCTGGGTCTGGGATACCTCACTCAGAATACACACACACATGCACACACAAACTCACACCTGTATATCTAAGTACTCAAGTACTTAGATCTGACCTACCTGGAAGTTCCCGTTAAGATAATATCAACCTCTCGTCCAATATACAACTGCCAGATAGCTGCACAGCAGTATCTGGATTAACATTTTGACTAACAGAAAAATATAAATATACCAGAGACTCTGTGTGAGTGTGTGTGTGTGTGTGTGTGTGTGTGTGTGTGTGTATGCCATCCATTTGCATACAAAATTCAGGATGTGTTCTTTTTTCAAAGCTGAGTAATAATGCATTGTGTAAATGTATCACTTTTTTATATTCGTTCTTCTGTTGAGGGACATCTAGTTTGTTCCCAGTTTCTGGCTATTATTTATAAAGCTGTAATGAATATAGTTAAGCAAGTGTATTGTGTAAGATAGAGTGTCTTTTTGGTATATACCCAAGAAAGGATAGTCAGATCTTGAGGTAGACTGATTCCCAATTTTCTGAGCAACCACCATATAGAGATTTCCACAGTGGCTGTTTGGACTCCCACCAGCCATGAAGGAGTGTTACCCTTGCTTACATCCTCACCAGCATGAACTGTCATTTGTGTTATTGATTTTAGCCATTCTGACAGTTGTTAAGATGGAACCTCAAAGTAGTTTTGATTTGCATTTTCCTGGTAGCTAAGAATGTTGAACATTCCCTTAAGTGTTTCCGGTCCATTTGAGATTCGTCCATTGTGAATTCTCTGTTTAAATCAGCATTTCAAT